CAGTGTTTGGGTCTATAGAGCTATAGCCAGACCCATTTCCAGTGCAAGTCCAGGAACTGATGTGAGGAAGGTGCATAGGCAGACAGGCTTAAGCTCCTCTTACAGCTTCTAGTCACCATAGTAAGCTGGTGTGGATAATGCACTTGCAGAGCCTTGTGCCAAGCTACTATGCCCTGCCTTTCCAGGCCTAGCTCTATGGGCATGCACAGAATAGATCTGGATCTTCTTGTTTGACTTGTATTTTCTGCTTTGGGAATGGAGCAATGTGCATCCCTTCCTGGACTGGAGTGGTCTGTGCCTCCTCTTTTAAAGCAGGGAGTGGGAAAAGACAATAGTGTATTTCTTTTTGGTTGCCTCTTTCATGAGTGTTTGAACTGAACCAAATGAGTTTCCTAGCACTGTGAAATAGCGTGACAAAAAATGTAGGGAATCTGGGTTTTAAAGCCACATTCTGAGCTTTCCTTGGAAATGTGTGGCAGGTGGCAAACCCCCCAAGGAAGTGTCTTGACTTCTATTTCTATTCCATCCTCTTGCTGTAAGAGAGATTAGGTTGGTCCCTACGCAGGCTGATGTTTTATTTAGTCTATTGCCAGCTGACTGAGGTCAACTCACTCTCCAGCAATTCACTGAGGGGGGAAAAAAGAAGTAGGTCATTCTAGCACAGTTTGGGTGGAAGAGGTTTTGTTGTAAAGTTGTTTGTTTTTTGCAAGTGAGAAATCTCTTTGGTGCCATTTGGCTAGTTTCACCAGCACATCTGGCCTCTTGTGTGCAACCTGCAGCTGTAGTGGCTTATGTTGCATCACACTTCTGCCAGAACTGCAGGACAACATCTGCCCCTCTGCGTATGTAGTGCGATGTGAACAGAAAATGATGCAACTTCTTGCACCTTCAAAGATGGGGAGATTGTTCAGCCTGTACTCGTGTTATGAAGTCAGCTGGGTGTTACCAGCCCAAATTAGCCAGCATGGGTTATTCTGACCAGCTGTAGAGTGCTCCTGTAGTCCTACATGAAGCTTTTGGCGTAGGCTGGAGCTGAGTGGGGATGGCAATACTGGTAGAGCCCAAGAAAGTGGCTGTGAATGTGGGTTTCAAGGCAAATGGGATGTGGGCAGCAGAGGCTCAATACTACTTCAGGATTCCTGTGGCCTAAGCCATGAGGGTTCAGGAAGTTGTGTTTAACTCAACAGGAGTTAGTATCAGAGAATATCCACTGTTTACTAGTTGTAACGTGAACACCTTGGTTTTGGGCTAAATTACTTTAAATTGAAAATAAATGTTATGTATGGAAACAAAATACACGCAAGTTGAGGCTTTGCCTAGCCTATAGAAATGTTGCTGATGTGGACAACTCCTCAGGAGTTTGCACAAAGCCAAGGTCTTGCCACAGATTTAGTGCTAATCCCTACTTTCCTCTTAATATCAGGGATTCTGTCTCAAGTTCTCCAACCTGAATTAACATCTGTGTTTCCTCCAGGAAAGTGAAGCCCAGGAGAAGGGGTCACCCCAACCTGTTTCAGAGCCCTGTCAGGTCCCAGAGAAGAGGACAGAAAGTACTGCGCTCTCCCCAGCCAGCACACTCTTTAGGGTAGAGGTGACTAGCTGCAATAGGGAGTTGAATGGAATGTGGAAAAAAGCAAAGCAGCAGGCTAAGCCTGTGTTAGGAAGCTATTAGTCTAATGTAACAGCTAAATGGAGAGGAAAAAAAAAAAAGCTCATGGTTGAGAGGTTGCCTGTGGGCTATTGTGTGTTTTAGACATTTGAGACCGTTTTGGTCTTGGGGACTTCTAAGAGCCTTTGAAAAGTTGGGAAATTCATGGTCTCTTGAAGTTATTACTGTGGTTTCCTTCAGAGTTTGAAATAATTTCTGCTTTCACTTCCTCCTTCTCTTCTACCAGCACACTTAATTATTTAAAACACAATTGTGAAGGGTTGTTACTATGAAATAGGTTCATTCATCACTAGCCCAGGTCTTTGATGGTTAGCAGGCCATCTGTTTGGGCTCCTTGCTGCTTTCACCCCATTTTTGGTGAGAAGGTACCTGTGTAGCAGCCAGGTTATTGCCTGGGGCAAAGAAGGCCTGGTGGGAAGGTAGTGCCCACTTTCAGTCAGTCCCTGCTCATCAAGAGTTGAAGCCAGCTTGCATCAGACTTCTGTGTGCAGCTGTGGGACTGTTGCATGTAAGGCAGCAAATGCAAGGTTCACAAACAGGATTCCTGTCCTCCCTGCCTTGGCACTTGCTAGGTAGTCTTGTGTTATTGGCACTTGTTGCGCTGCTCTTGTGCTTTTCTGTCTCTGGGACTTCCTGTACCAGATGTGACTACTTGCGCTGCTGGTCTGACCCACCCGCCCGCAATGCCTAGCTGGATGAGGAGGGAGCACTGTGCTCTTACCAGCTCCCCTTTCTTAGTAGGTGAGGGAGGCTGCTCTCTGCCCTCCCTCCATGCCTCTTCCCTTGGGCACTGCCCAGCCACAAGACAGGCCGAAGGTTGTCAGCCCTGGGCACGCACTGTGGGGGCAGAGGAGCTTGTGAACCGAGTCCTGCTTTCTCCCTTCTTCCTAGCAGGCCTCCCTGGAGGCTTGGTGGAGTTGTGCTCATGTAACTAGAAGCCTCTGAGGGCACTTGGTCCAACCTTCCCTGTCCCTAGGTATTTGTTGGGAAAGTATTGAAATAAGTGTGAGTATACACATGTATCTCTGCCTTGGGGGTGGGGGGAGGCACACCTGAAGACCTACAGATGTGTAGCAATGTCAGCTGGGTGTTTCACCTCCGAATATGCTGCTGTGCACACGGCAGCTCACCTGCTCTCAGGAGGTACTCAGGATCTCCTCTGTGATAACACTGCTTTCCATTCTGGCCTCTGGCACTATGAAGAGTTGTCCCTCCCTTCCCCAGCACCACCTCTTGGCTTTAAAGCCCCATTTGTAGGTTATGTTGTTCCATTGTCTTCCACGCATCTGTGGCAGGAAGAAATTTCATGCCCCTCATTCGTGTGAATAGGGCCCTTCGTGCTGGGAGAGTTGTGGTTTTCTCAGCCTTTTTTTATGTCCGCCAGTGTGTGATGGGCAGCCCTCTCCAGAAATACAGCTATGCATCACTAGAAAGGTCATTTTCTACAAGACGTTGCCAAACCCATGAGCACTGCTGCAAGATGTGAGTTTATGGGCAATTTTTTTCCTTTCACCCTTTTGTTACTCATTTGCAGGGCGAGGACTTCTGGTCTGAAGCAGAGGGTGACAAGAGCTGCTCTGTCTCTGAATTCGTCATGGAACAGGTTAGATTCAAACGTGACTGAAGTCAGCGGTTCACAGTGACAAGGGGTTCTCTTGTGCACTTGTTCCGAGATACCTCGGAGGGGATAAGTCTCAAAAGGTGCTGGCTCATGTCCTTCTCATCTTCCCCAGGGGTTCTTGCAGGGCTGTGACACTGCTCTGAAAACAAAGTGGATGAAACCACTTAGCTTGCAAGATGCTTCCTTGTTACCTTGCAGTGTGACACTCCCCCTTTAAACTGCAGGCTGGAGGTGTAGCTATTTAAGAGACTACAATGTTTATCAACAGAGCTACAAACTACTAAAACTAATAAATCAAATTAATAGACACACCACTGTGATCAATTTATTGCATGGTTTTGTGCAATATTAAACACAGTTACGAAGCTACTATTTATCACACTGAAATCTTACTAACTACATTGAACTGCTATTGAAATGTCTATCATCCTCCCCACCTACTGTTAGAGTGCAATTATAACCCTCTTTGCTCTGCCCTCCCACAAGCCTTTGGAACACAAACCTGATGGCTAGTCCAGTGGGTTGTTCAAGGGGATCACCACTGGTGTCCCAGTGAGCTTGAGTCACCAGGGGTGAGCTTTGCTACTGTCTGTGCCTAGGCAATATGGGTGCTGTATGATATCACTGATAGAGTTATGTGAATATAGGTGGCCTTGCAAGGTTCCACTCCCCTAAAGGTACCTGAAAATTCCTTTCAATTATCAAGTTCATCCTGATTGCATATTGATTGCCCAATGCAGTTGGAAAGACAAACCATTCTACTTTAGCCTTGATTCTTCTCCCTAGTTACAGTTAAGCCTAAGCATTTTCTTATAGGCAGACAGTCTGTGTACCAGAGTAAGGATTTTCTTTCTTACTTTATTTCTGTGCTTACACAACATCATGTTCTCTTTGCTGCTTAACTAAAATTATTGGACAGTCTCCTGGTTTTCTACAGAGGCCTTAGTTGGTTATGAGGCCCCATGTTCCATAGGGACTAATTTGGGTACTTTGTGCCGCCTTGCAGGGTGGCCTGGCCGTCGACGTGGCGTGTGCCTGTTTACTGGGGGTGAATGTGCCAGTGTAGAAAATACCAGACACCAATGATCTGCCATCTCACTGTCACTGTTCTTGTGAGCAGCTGCTTGGCTCTCTACAGGGAGCTGAACAGGTTTATTATGGAGCTAGTTGAGATCCCTTTGAAAAGGGAGAAGTAATGTAAATCTTGGGGGTTTTTTTGCAGGCTTACGCTATCTGTTACCTGTTTCCCACCTTGTTACTGCTATGGTCTGATTACATTTAAATGGAGAGCTGCTGGCTTCGCTATGCACAGGAAGTAGGATGCCCAATTTGCAGATACAGGAGTGAAAGCCTTCCAAACACAGATATCTGAATAGGAGGAAGTGGGTGCTTTGTGCTGAGTATGCATCTCTTTCAAAAGAGGGGCTCTGATCAGGGTTTCTGTCATTGCCACAGCTGGAAATGTGAGGAGAAGGTTCCACCACTGGTTTGTAAGAACCGAGCTATCTATTATTCACTATCAGACAGTTCTGTGTGGGTACACATCCAGGAGTTAGTATGCATTTGCTGAACTCTTGTGGACTCCCTGGCTAATGCTATTCAGGATGCCCAAAGAAGGCCAGAGAAATGTGTTCAGGATTGGAAAACAGCATATGCGTAGACCTTTTGCGTGTGACTTCTCCTAGGCATGGGCTTAACAGTGATTTTATTATGTTTAAGATCAACGGATCTGTCCAGATGGAGCGTGCACTGCTGTACACCTTCCTGGAGGTATCCTCTGACTGTAAGTTCAGAGAGCAACTGCATTCCCTGCAAAGCCAGGGGATTGGGTCTTCTGTGAAAGGCAGCTACTGCTACGATGATGAGGTGGAACTTCAGACTGATGGCAATCGGAGCGGCTACATGCAGAACGGCGAGCTAGGTGAGTGCCATTTCTCCATCCCACGTGCCTGTCTGAAGGTGGTGTTTTTCTTTCCCCTTTTCCCATCTTTGCTGCTGGTCTGTTTCAGAGACGTAATGTTTTCTCCATAGAGAAACTTAACAGTCTGGCTGGTGGTGTTGGTTGGGAGTTTAATACTTGGGATAAGACAGCTAGTGCTTAGCACTTTATCTCCTCATGGACTTCCAGAACGTCTGTCACCCTGGGGTTTTGTCTGCAGCACGTTAGACAAGGCACAAAGCTGGTATTAATGATTGCTGTCCTCAAGCAGTGTGATGTTAAGCAGTTAAGTTAGGCCTCACGCTGCTCCTCAGGCAGTATCAGTACTTGAGCTAGGATTTTGGAACAACTCTTGTTCTGGTACTGGGTGAATCCCTTTCTGCTCTATCAGTGTGGTGGAAACTGCTCCTCAAATAGTTTCTGGTACTATTCCTGCTTCACTAACCATCTGCAGGGTGGCTATTGCCCCTTGCCCAGGATGTGTCAGTTGGCACGTTGACCTCAACCTAAGCAGGGTGAGGAGGAACTGCTACGGTAAATACCCTCCCTCATATAAATCTGCATGGGCCTCATTCGCCAAGTGACAATGGGAAGCTTTGCCAAAAGGAGATAGGACAAGGGGTAATGGTTTTAAACTAGAGGAAGGTAGATTCAGACTAGATATAAGGAAGAAATTTTATACAATGAGGGTGACGAAACACTGGACCAGGTTGCACAAAGAGGTGGTAGATGCCCCATCCCTGGAAACATTGAAGGTCAGGTTGGATGGGGTTCTGAACAAGCTGATCGAGTTGAAGATGTCCCTGCTCATTGCAGAGGGGTTGGACTAGATGACCTTTAAAGGTCCCTTCCAACCCAAACTATTCTATGATTGTATGAGATGCTGTATTTTAGATGGTGCTTAAGAGACAGGTCCTGCCAGTAGTCACTTGAAAAAAATCATGCACACTCTCTCACTTCCACTCTGTAGGCAGGTTGTTGGCTGTTGCTGCTCTGTGCAAATTTTGGTTGGAATTGTTCCAACCTCCCCTGTAGTGTTTTTTGGGCGGAGTGAGGCTGTACTTTACCTAAACTGCAGATAAAAAACCTGTTTGCACACTCTCTCTGGTAAGTGAGTTGAGTGCACACAAGGGAGTTGTAGTGCGTACGGCTGTCACGAATGTACTATGATTGGGCCGGGGGGTGAGGAGGTTGTTAATGGAGATGGGCAAAATGCTATGGGTCAGCTTATGTGCACTCAACCTAGTCTGACTACAGCCTGTGAACTAAATCCTGTTGTATGTGTTGGCAGTGTTTGACCCTGAGGTAAATGAAGAAGTTGTCCGAATCATTGCTGCTCAGCTTGCTGAGATTGGAGACCAGTTTGATAAAGAAATCAAAGCAAGAGTAGTAAATGATCTAGTGCAGCACTTTCTGAATGAGAATCTGTCTGGAGAGGTGAGTGAAAAGCAATCTGACTAGCAGTTACCCTTTTAAATGTTGTGTATCCTTCCTGCTGTGACTTCTGTATCTTTGCTAGTTTGCTGATTTAATTATTGCCATCTTAAAATTCAGCCCAAACACTTACCTTTGAAGATTTGTTAGAGGTGATGCTGTATCCTGCAAATCGGGTTCCTTTGACTCATCTCCTTTCTGCAGATGGTGAAATAGAGGTAGTTGCGAAGGACTGACTTTCAGAGGCATTTTGTCCTCACTTTGTTGACCAAGTGGCTGTCTTTGAAAACCAACTGTCTGGTTAAGGCTTAGTATTTGTCCTTAAAATCTTTGGACTTTGCTGCTGAGTGCTGTGTCTGCTCCTTGTCATGTGAGTAAAACTTGAGCAGTGTTAGTGCCAGAAGCTTGACTTATGCTTGTTATTGAACGCTGAAGAAGACAGCAAGTAGTGAGACCTTTTTCTAGTGCCGTAACTGTTTAGCTCATAGGCTGTCAGTGTTGTGAGTAGCAGTGGGTTTTGGCCTCGATGGGTGACCTGCTGAGAAGGCCTCTCTAGGTGACATCTTCACCTCTTTGATGCAGTAGCTCTCCCACCGATAGATGTGATGTAGTCCCTGGCCCAGTATCTAATGTGCCTTGCTGCTCTGCAAGAGAAGTAGAATTTGAGGTCCCTTGAGTTAGACATCCCTCTCTTTTCTTTTTAAGAATTTGATCCACATCTGGATCAAGAGCCACAGTTTGCTTCCACAGAGCCTTTTTAGCATCTTCAAGATAAATGTGGCTTTCTGGCTTGTTTGGCTTTCTCCCCCTATGATAGCTTGTAGAACGTAGGAAACCAATGCTGTATCTGAATTGAGGGTCCACCTTCTTGCTGAAAAGGCAGGATTTAATGACTTCTAACAATCATGTGTGTGTGGTGTGGTTTTTTTTGTGGTGTGGGTTTCTTTATACTGGGGTTTATCACCTGCACAGGCTGATTCCAGCAAAGTCTGACCAATCCCCACTCCTGCTGTCTTGTTTTCTACCCAGTGGAGGCCTTCAAATTTATTTCCTAACCTTTCAGTCTTTGGTAAGGCTGAGACAAACCTTACTTCTGACCAGGCGGACCTTGCTTTTTCACATTGGTAGTGTAGCTTAGTGTGTGCATATGCACATTGTCTCTCTTGGGAGCAAGGCAGTGTTTGTTCCATACTTGGACACCTCCTTTAGCTCCTCTCTGTGTGAGGGCTTTTCTGTGAAACTCAATTTGCCTTCTTGCCAGTCCCACCTAACCTGATCTTCACTGTGTTGAAGGTGGATTGCCCTTTCCTGGGAGCTCCAGGATTCCTGTGCTATTTCAGGACTTGGTAGGCTAGATGCAAACCCTGGGGAGGAGGGGGGCTGTTGCACCCTGAGTGTGTAAGGTGCTATCTAAATCTTCCAGCAGTATGTGTGTTGTCTGTTTTTTTTTTTTCTTTTTGTCTTGGGTGAGCAGCTGAGCTCAGAGATGGTCATCCTTTCTGCCATCCAGGGTGTATAACAGGCAGGCTGCCATGCCTGGGAGGAAGGGGGGCGGCATCCTGTGGGGTGTTAGAAACAAGCACATCTCAGTGCTGGCAGGCTGTGCTGAGACCCTTTTCTCCCACAGCTGTTGCACTGAGATCCTTCTCTTCTTTCCATGCAGGAGATAACCCGGCGCATGTCAGAGGCAGTGGAAGGGCTTGCACGAGCCATCCCTTCAGACATGGAACAGGAGAAGGCCATGTTGGTGCTAGCAATGGTCTTAACTAAAAAAATTGCGAATACAATGCCCTCCCTTCTACAGCGTGTCTTCAGCACCACTGTGAACTACATCAGCCAGCAGCTCCACAACTACATTGTCAGAATGGTGAGTGCTGTCAAACAGCTCAGTGGGAGTCGCAGCCAGCCTCTTAGCTGGCTTAGGTTATTCCTGGAGGGGTGGCCTATCTCTGAGCTGCCCATGGTCTGCTGGTTTCCCTGTAGCGCTCTGGAGGTTTGGCCAGCAGGGAATGCCAGTCCCTGCAGGACTCTGATGGTTGGTGTGCTGAGGGAGAGAGGTTTGAGGGGGATGTGTCAGAGCTGCTGCTTGCCCCACTCTCACAGTAGCTAGTGAACAGAGTGTGTTTATTCTGTAGGGTAGACTCGGGTTAATCATGCCCTCGGGGAAGGAAAGCCTGACCGGAGCTCTGATGGCTTGATTTCCCCAATGTCTTGGGCCTGAGGCCTCTGCTCTTGTCTGTGCGGGCTCCCCAGAGCTTGGCTGAACAGGAAAGGAATTGTCCCTGAAAAACAGCACCAGCAGAGGAAAAATGAGAAATGGTCAAATGGGAAATGGCAGCTTCATTCTTGTTCCCAGTTGGGAGACTGAACAGCTAGCAGTCAAGCTAGGGCAGGGACTAGGGCATTTGGCCCCTGCTTCAGTAACTAACCTGTCAGGGGAGAGGAGAGGGAAAAAAAAAAATCATGCACACAAAACTTCTTAAGAACAAGTCTTGAGAGCCGTCAGGGCTGAGCCCTGCGGCAGAAGGGCGACCCAGTTGTGTGGGACAGCCCTGCCACGGACGATGTTGGCGACAACCTGCAAAGGGGCCCAGCTCACCCTGTGTCATGAGAACAGGCAGCTGCCTCACACAGCACCCCTGTTCATGGCCAGGCAGCAAGGCACAACATCACTGAAGTGTCACTCAGCGCTGCCCTCCCCTTCACTCAGCTTTGCTCAAGGGCGCTGAGTTTTGACAGAAACTTGTCACTAGTGTAAGAGACTGGCCCTCAGGCTGCCTTGCTGCCACAGCAGGCTGATAGCCCAGTGCAGGGAGGGCAGGCAAAGGGCTGCTGGGCTGATGCTTGTCCACCCACCCCAGTGTAGTGGCATTAGGAGGGGGAGAGAGCTGGGCACCAGGAGCCATTCCATGTTGTTCCCATGGGACTTCTGATGCCAGCTCTCTTGCTGCTGTTTGTGTGGAAAGGGGGTGCTGGGGGGGTGATGGCAAACGTGCAGCACAGTGAGCAGCAGGGCTGAGGCACGGTTGGTGGCATGGGGGACATGCACTGGCAGCTGCTAGCTGCTCACCCTCCTGGGAGCTGCCAAGCCCCTCGGGTGGGTGGGCAGGTAGGCACAGGGCTTGTTGTGAGAGATGGCTCTACTGCTGTTAATGCTGGTTCTGTTTCTCTCCCTCTAGCTGCGTGAGTGAGCTCTCCAGCCCTCTGTGTGGAGAATGTGGATTCCTGAAGACTTTTTACTTGATGTATAACTTTTCTGCTCTTAACTTCTGAGATACAGCTGTGAAAGGGAAGGCAGAGCTTCGTAGATAGGCTTTTGTAGACTAGCACAGCGATGATGGTAGTGTGAGCTGTGTGCCAGCTCTGCCAGTACCTGTAAGGAGTAGTGCTTGCCCTCTCTCATCTTACAATAGTGTTGCGGGTTTTTGTTTTTTCTTTTTCCCCTTAGCAGTAGCAGACTTTGTGCAGACACTGGCTTCTGCCTCCAGAGGAAATACTGTGGGGACAGAGCCAGCTCTCTCAGTATGTTTTTCTTCTAATCACCTGTAGCATTTTTGCTTTAGTTAATTCTCTTCCCAGCTCTGCTCCTGGTGCTGCAGCTGAGCCATGCTGAGTGTTAATTGTTCCCAGGAAGGCCTTAGGCTGTAGAATGGGTGGTTGATCAGCACAAATCACCAAGGAGGGAAGGGGGGGGTTGGCACGGAAATCAAGTTTGTCTTAGAAGGGAGCTGGCAGCAAGAGGGAACAACCCTAAAGGAGGAAGGGGGTGTTTGGCCAGGGAAGGCTGAAGTAAAGATGCTTCAGTATCAGTTGCCATAAACCCATGCTTGCTTGAAAAATAAAACCAAATGAGAAACTGTAAAGAAAAAGGCAGGGGGTAGATACAGGGCAAATTCTTTCAGGGAATGCCATCTGGGTATGCTTGAGGAAAAGTGTGTAGCTTTAGAGTATCTTGCTATAAAGAGGAAGAGGGTATCAGCCTTAGATGAGGAAGAATACCTGGCATCTCTTGTGAGTGTATTGCAGTCACATCTCAGGCTCAACAAACTTGGACTCAGGTTGTTTGATACATACCTGTAATCACACACAAGGTGGCAAAGGCTTCCCCTGTGATCCAGCTGCCTCAGAAGTTTTGAAGTGATGTAAATATTTTGTGTTTTTTTAATTTAAATAAAATTGTCAGTTGTCATGGCAGTACAGCTCTTAAGAATTGCAATTTCCACCTGCATTTTTTTGGTGGTGTCAGCTTTTTTTGTGGCAGTACTCAAGGTATTCCTCTAACTTACTACTGCTTATGATGCAGCTGGCAGCAATAGAGACATGATGGTTCTGGCCTTGTGCTTTGCACTGGCATATCTTGCCTTTTTGGTGCCTGCACTAGAACAG